AAAAAAAAAAAAAAAAAAAGAAAATATGAAGCAATCTTTCATTTTGAAGTATAAAAATTAGAGCCATTAACCAAGTGTTCCAGTTGTCTAAAATGAAGGCGCTGTAGAGGGGAAATTTTCCCTCTGGTCTCTAAGGGTTTGATAACTGAGTCTCTGAACTAAGCTAACAGTAGACAGATTGATGAGAGAAAAAGTATACACATTTACAACGCATACTAGGGCAACCTACAATCCAGTGAGATCTGCAGCTCACGAGTTTTGCCTTCACAAGAATCGGTGGTGGCCTGTGGCAGTCTGTCTGGTATGGAGCTGAGGTCCCTTGGTGCTCCTGTCTGGTGATACCTGTTCTTTCTTCTCTGTGGATGAGATTTCCAGGAAGGGTGTCAAGACAACTGAGTTCCTTTGGGATGATCTATCTTTACTTGGATAAGGGGAATTCAGAGAATGCCCCTCCCTGCCTTGGCAGGTCCCCATATGTCCTCGGATTGATGGCATACTAACGTGGTAATCACTGTACTAGTTATTAATCAGTATCCTACCGTGGCATAATTCGGGGTGGCATTTCCTCAACTCTTTCATTACTAACCAGCTCTTATAACTAAAAGTGATTCAAGTGTTAAAGGACCTTTTACTTGAATATCCTCCAGGCTTTAAATGATCAAGAATTCATCACCGTTGTTAGTTGAGAAGGTGGCTGAGCAGGTCCCTGTAATTCAGTGTCAGCACATCACAGGTTCAGGAAAGGTGTGACAAAAAGGGATTTTTATGTCTTAAAGGAAAGTACAAGGTGGGCAGGGACTCAGACAACACAGTAGCAAGCATCTGGCTCAATGCTGGAGAGGAAGACAGTGGGAGATCCGGGCCAGGCTCCGAGTGCGAAACTGCTTGTTTGCCTCCGTAGGCCGTGGGTCTGCTGGACCCGTTCGCTACTGGAAATGAGTCTGTCTGACCGCACGGGGTCGTCTCCACGCGTGTTGTGTTGATCTCCAGGGTTAGAACCAGAACCCATGAGGACACGGGAAAGACCAGAGGGCCTGGGGCTGACCTAAAGTCCAGCGATCAAAATACTCTGCATTTTCAGGAAACCGCTGTCACGATTTAATCTAAAAAACCTCATCTGTATTTTCGGCCACGGTTTCCTTCCGTCATCATTACTTGGCGAAGTCTCCACGCGCTCCCGTTCGCCGGGGAACTCAGGGTGACCGGGCTCCCCTATATTGGGGAGTGGGGACTGGCGTCGCTTGTCTTCCCTGGCCTCTGCTTGGTTTCTTTCTCCTCCTCAAGCATGTGCCCTCCAAAGTGCGGGGATTACAGGCATGCGCCACCGCGCCTGGCGCTCTCACTGCCTTTTTATTTGTTTTTAGCTTTGAGACAGTTTTGCTCTTTTTTTTTCTTTTTTAAGAGATGGGGTTTCACCATGTTGGCCAGGCTGGTCTCGAACTCCTGGCCTAAAGTGATCTGCCCGCCTCGGCCTCCCACAGTGCTAGGATTACAGGCGTGAGCCACTCGCCCGGCCTGACAGTTTTGCTCTTGTCGCCCAGGCAGGCGTGTAACAGCGCGATACCGGCTCACAGCAACCGCAACGTCCCGGGTTCAAGCGATTCTCCGGCTTCAGCCTCCCGAGTGGCTGGGATCACAGGCGCGCGCCACCAAGCCCGGCTAATCTTCGCATTTTTAGCAGAGACGGGGGTTTCATTACGTTGGCCAGGCTGGTCTAGGACGCCCGGCCTTGGGTGATCTGTCAGCCTCGGCCTTTCGAAGTGCTGCGGTCTCAGGCCTGAGCCACCGCGCCTGCCTCTTGCTGCCATTTTTAAACCGGTGATGTCGACCCAGCCTTTCTACAAGCTTTTTTTTTTTTTTTTTTTTTTTTTTTGACAGAATCTCGCTCCGTCGCCCAGGCTGGAGTTCAGCGGCGCGGTGTCGGCTCTTCCCAGCTTTCGTCCCGCTGTGGGGAGAGGCCACGCAGCTCCACGGGAGGGCCGCGGGCGAGAGGCGGGGCCGGGAGGACGGTGAAGGGCGCGAACAGTTCGCGGTTTCCAGAGCGGGTTCCTTCCCGCCCGGAACGATCAAGCCCTTTCAGAATCTTCTCGGCCTCCCTGGAGCAGGCCGCCCATTGCCTACGGCGCTTTCGGCACGTCTGGGTTCTCGGGTACCGTAGAGGCGGTCCCGAGCTCCGCCCCCTCACCCCAGCTTCCAGGCCTCCAAGTGGCGGCGGAAGGGCCTAGAACCTTCGCGAAGGTGGGGCGGGCGCCCCGTCGCCGGGCCCCCGGTATGGGCAGCGGAAACTGCGCATGCGCGGCGTCAGGACGGGGCGGAAGTTGACGTCGCTGTGCCGCCGCCGCGTGACGCATTTCCTGTTTGTTGTTGGAGAAAGGAGAGAAAGGAAAGCGCGAGGAGCCGCCGCCACCCGCGCAGCAGTGCTGGAGCCGTGAGGAGATTCGGGCCGTCACCCCCGCCTCCCCTGCGTCCCGCCACCGACCGCCTTCGTCCTCGGTGAGAGTCTACTCCGAGGGTCAGGGAAGGTCGGCCGAGGGCCCCCCGCGCGGCCGGCAGACGGCGGACCTGACCCGGCGCCTGGCAACAGCGTGCGGGGGGTGGCCCGGGTCGCCGGCCGGCCCAGGGCTAGGCGGGGCGGGGGCCGTGGCCCGGGTCGCGGGGCGAAGGGTGCGTGGGGTGGTCTGGGTTTGGGGTCGGCGTCGGGGTCTGGTGCCGCGCGGTCGCGTCCTCCCCGCCCGGCGTCCTTGCGGGAGCGCGGCCCGGCCTCCGCGGCGGCGGTTGGGGGCGGGGCCTGGGCCTGGGAGCGGCCGGCTGGGGCCCGGGGCCGGGGGCGGGCGCCGTGGGAGGCGGGGAGCGCTGGCTTTTCCGGGGCCTCCCGCGCTTGAGCCTGAAACCAGAACCGCGGGTGGCTGGCGGCGCGGGAATGCGTGGCCGTGCCGCCAAGTTCGGAGCGAGCCGCGGAAGCAGGTGGCGGGCCGCAGAGCGCTGTAGGTGGAACCCCGGAGGGGCGTTGGAAGTTCGCGGGCGCGCAGCCTGTTTCCTGCGCAGAACGCCGCCCTGCTCTGCGGTAAAGAAGCTGGGCCGTGGGTGATGCAACTGGAGTTTTATACTAAAACTTACGGAGGAAGGAGGTCAGTGACACGCGAAGGGTGAACTGCAAGCCGTGCATCGGCTCGAGAACGGTTTTGGCGCCAGCGCGTTTTTTAAAGGACGGATTTGCTGGTGTGATGTAGACTTCAGTGCTGACTTCCTCACATACACGAGGCAGGAAACGGCCGGAGCAGCAGGACCACGGCAGCCACGCAGGGTTGCTGCCTGTGAGCGCGGAGGCTTCAGCCCGTTTGGGAAGAGTAGGCTGAGCGGCGCTCTTTGTAGTTTTTATCGTTTTTATTTTATTTTTATTTTTTGAGACGGAGTTTTGCTCTTTTTGTCCAGGCTGGAGTGCTACGGCACGATCTCGACTCACCGCAACCTCTGCCTCCCGGATTCAAGCAATTCTCCCGCCTCAGCCTCCCGAGTAGCTGGGATTGCAGGCATGCACTACCACGCCCAAGCTATTTTTGTATTTTTAGTATAGAGACAGGTTCTCCATGTTGGTCAGGCTGGTCTCGACCTCCCGGCCTCAGGTGGTCCACCCGCCTCAACCTACCAAAGTGCTGGGATTACAGGCGTGAGCCACCGCGTCCGGCAGACTCCAGACTTCATTTTTTCCACTCTTGAGAGCCTTAAGCTTCCTTGGAGTTGGTGATTTCACATTTCTTTCTGCCTTTTGTGATAAAAGGATGAGTACTTCTTATGCACAGTTGAATGAGCTGTGCGTTTTTATGGATTATGTCGAATGTGAAATTTGGGAATTGCCTTCAATTGGTACATGTGGAGACTTGACAGGAAGTGGGAGAATAAAAGGTTGAGAAGCTTATGAAAAATGCCCAACTAGGCTTAGTCTGTGTTGTGGAAGATGAGAAAGTGGGGAATTTGAAAGGGCAAAGCTTCTAAAGTATTTGAAGGTCGGGCAGGTCGGGCACGGAACGCCTGGAAATCCCAGCACTTTGGGAGGCCGAGGCGGGGAGATAACCTGAGGTCCGGAGTTTGAGATCAGCCTGACCAACATGGGGAAACCCCTTCTCTATCCAAAATACAAATAATTAGCCGGGTGTGGTGGCGTATACCTGTAATCCCAGCTACGTGGGAGGCTAAGGCGGGAGAATCGCTTGAACCTGGGAGGTGGAGGTTGCAGTCAGCTGAGATCATGCCGTAGCGCTCCAGCCTGGGCAACAAGAGCAAAACTCCGTCTCAAAAAACGAAAACAAAAAAAATTGAGACGAGTTCAGAACCCTCTTTGAAACATCAGTGTTTAAAAATTTATTCTGGATATGAAAGTGTTAGGTTTGGGAAGTAATTTTGGCTGTAGCGCAGTTTTTTTTTGGAACACTGGAGAGTATTGTTGAATATTGTAAAGACTAAGATACGGTTATGGTATTACAGTGTGATACCTGTAACTGAGTGGCATACGTTAGTTTTTGTTTTTAAGCAAGTCCATAGTCCCTTGTATTAACTCTATTTTGGACAGTTTCAAATGACGGTGATACCCATCACCGCCATCAGTTTTCAAGGAACCTAACGCAAATCCAGGTTTGGGGTGTGGGGTGGGATGGTCTGTTTGCACTTTTTTTTTTTTTTTTTTTTTAAAAGATGAGGTTTCACCATGTTGGTCAGGCTGGTCTTGAACTCCCGACCTCAGGTGATCCACCTGCCTTGGCCTCCAGAGTGCTTGGATTACAGGCGTGAGCCACCACACCCGGCCCACTTTTTTTATTTTTGAGATGGAGTTTCGCTCTTGTTGCCTAGGCTGGAGTACAGTGGCGCCGTCTTGGCTCACTGCACCCTCCCCCTCCCAGGCTCAAGGGATTCTCCCACCTCAGCCTCCGGAGTAGCTGGGATTTACAGGCACCCGCCATCACACCCGGCTAATTTTTGTGTTTTTTAATAGAGATGGGGTTTTACCATGTTGGCCAGGCTGGTCTCAAACTCCTGACCTCAGGTGATGCACCCCCTTGGCCTCCTAAAGTGTTGGGATTACAGGCGTGAGCACCTGCTTCCAGCTGTCATTTATTATTTTTTTTTTGTCATTTTAAAGATTATTTAACGAGACGGCACTTTAAAACTTGGGCAGATATTTTTAGTCATCCTGAACATGTCGCTGTGGACTGAGTGTAACCCGCGTGACCGCACAGACAACACCTTACTGTGGTCAGCAGTAAACGTCAGTTTCTGTATTGGCTATTGCTTACGTATATCTGTTGATGAGGAATAAGAATATAATCAGCCTTTGTGAGTTGATGTTTTGACAGCATTTTTACTTTTAATATTTATTTGCATCCAGGTTAGACACTGGATTAACAGGATTTTTAAAAAACATTTTTAGAACTTTTATTTTCTGGGAAATGATTCTGTTCAAAATCGGGGTTTGTTTAAATTTGTCCAGGACACCACCTTGTGGTAAGAGGCGAGTAACTGCAGGCTTATGAGCGAGTAAGAATAGTGGCAGGATTTGTCAAATGCTGTAGTTCTTGATGAATAGGACTTGAGAATATCAAACTTAAAAAAATGAGGTTAATGAGACGAAAAGCAAAGTTGGTGAAAACAAGAATGTGTTAGAAACGATGATGTAGGAATAGAAAAATGACATCCACCTGGAGAAAATGATTTCCGGGATAAGTCAACTAGGAAAAATGTGATGCTTTTTTGTATTAATATTAATGAGGTGTTTTAAATCATTTATGTTTTTGTGTGGACGTAAATCACTGTTGATCTGTTTCATGTTCCTGGAGATATCCTAGTTGAGAAGTAAGTTTTATTTATTTTTTTGAAATGGAGTCCTTGGCTCTGTTGCTCAGGCTGAAGTGCAGTGGTTCTGTCTTGGCTCACTGCAAATTCCACCTCCCAGATTCAAGCCACTCTCCTGCCTCAGGCTCCGAAATAGCTGAGATTACAGGCGTGAGCCACCGAGCCTGGCCCCTTTTTTTTTTTTTTTTTTTTTTTTTCTCCTTGGTGCAGGTAGAGTCTTCCTGTGCGCCCAGGTTGGTCTTGAACTCCTGCCCTCAAGTGCTTCTTCCCCCCGGCCTACCAAAGTGCTAGAATTAGAAGTGTGAGCCAGGTGTCTGGCCAGATGTTAGGATTCTTAAGCTCTGTTGGAAAATCACTTGTCTTTAATTTGAAGAGTAATTTACTAACACAACATGATTTTGCTGCTTTTGATGTTTTTCTACCTTTTGCCACCTAAGCATTGAGTGTTTATATTTGTGTTGTGCAAACACACATGTGCGTGTTCTAGTTGGTATGCTTGTGAACTGTGTACCAATAAATCCTTATTCCTCTCTATCACCTTGAGATGGCATATTTCGCTTGGTTGGGCTTTGAATTGAATGTTATTTGTGCTTATAGGAATGCCCAAAAGATGCAGAGTGACGTCCTCAGGTGATCCACCTACTTCGGTCTCCCAAAGTGCTGGGATTACGGGTGTGAGCCACCCCGCCTGGCCTTATTTTATTATTATTTTTATAATATAATCTTTTGAGTTAGGGTTTTACTTTGTCACCCAGACTGGGCGATCTTAGCTCACCCCATCCTCTGTCTCCTAGGCTCAAGCGATTCTCCTGCCTTATCCTCCTGGGTAGCCGGGATTACAGGTGTGCTCCACTACCACCCAGCTAATTTTTTATTTTGGGGTTTGCTCTTGTTGCCTAGGCTGGAGTGCAATGGTGCGATCTTGGCTCACTGCAACCTTTGCCTCCCGGGTTCAAGCATTTCTCCTGCCTCAGTCTCCCGAATAGCTGGGATTACAGGCATGCCACCATGTCCGGCTAATTGTGCATTTTTACCAGAGACGGGGTTTCACCATGTTGGCCAGGCTGGTCTTGAACTCCTGACGTCAAATGATCCACCTGCCTCGACTTCCCAAAGTGCTGGGATTACAGATGTGAGCCACGGAGCCTGGCCAATTACTATGATTTTTTTAATGAAAGGGAGTTGGTTAAGCCTGGAGGTATCTAGTAGGTGATGACGGCCAGTTGAAGAAATGGTTTTTGATCTTGAGTAATGAGGAAATAACTTCTTGGGTTTGTTTCAGAAATATTTTAGAACATACTGAAGAGTGAAATAAGTGATGTGTGATAAGGAATGAGAATTCACTGCTGTGGGTTTTAATTTTTATTTTTCCTACCTGACTGTATTTTTTTTTTTTTTTTGGTGTTTCGAGTCTCTGTCACCTAGGCTGGAGTGCAGTGGTATGATTGATTTTGGCTCACTGCAACTTCTGCCTCCCAGGCTCAAGCAATTCTTGTGCCTCAGCCTTCTGAGTAGCTGGAATTACGGACATGCACCACCACGCCCAGCCAATTTTTTTTTTTTTTTTTTTTTTTTGAGACGGAGTCTCCCTCTGTTTCTCAGGCAAGAGTGCAGTCATACTATCTTCGCTTGGTGCAACCTCCACCTTC